GTAGGTGAGTGCCATTTTTGTGCTCTTCCTCTATCTTGTGCCCCTTTGCTGACTTGCTAGCACCAGTGCTGGTGGGAGCCATTTTTGCATTCTCCTTTACCTTCTAGCACTGGTAGGTGCACATAATCACAGCAATCTCCAACTGTCTGGCTAATGTCAGTGGGCATGCACCTCTGCAATCTTAGCTGCCTTGCTAAAGCTGGTGCAAATGCGTGCACGCATGTGCGCGCGCACACACACACACACACACACACACAAATCTGATTTAAAAATGGACAGAGGATCTGAATAAATATTTTTCCAAAGAAGACATACAAATGGTCAATAAGCATATGAAAATATGCTCAATATTACTGTCAGGGAAATGCAAATCACTACTACAATGAGATATCACCTTATACCTGTTAGAATGGTTGTAATCAAAAAGACAAGGAATAACAAGTGTTGACGAGGATGTGATGAAAAGGGATCCCTCACGCACTGTGGGTAGGAATGTAAATTGGTGCAACTATATGGAAAACAATATGGTGGTTCCTTAAAAAATTAAAAATAGAACTACCATATGATCCAGCAATTCTACTTCTGGGCATTTATCCAAAGAAAATGGGAACATTAATTCAAAGATAAAGGCACCCCTCTGTTCATTGCAGCACTGTTTACAAGATAGGGAAACAACCTAAGTGTCCATCAGTGGATGAATGGATAAAGAATATGTGGTGTGTGTGTGTGTTTGTGTGTGTGTGTGTGTATAATTTGTTCCAGAAACATACTTGTAATCCAAAGAGCTTGTATATCAAAGTGAATGTCCCCATAAGAAATAATAGAAATTCAGATGGTTTGTTCCACAACCCAAAAATATTCATATAAAAATGATTACAATACTGTAATATAATACAAAATAATAAAGAAAATACAAAATATAAAGAAAAATAAACGATCTGCACTTACCTTTGAAAACTTTCGTGGCTGGTGTAAGGGAGATAAGAGAGAGGAGGGTTATTGTGTAGGATGACTTTCACTATCACTAATGCAATCACTGCTGTCTATTGGCTCAATGGAATCTTTTTCTTTTTGTGCAACTTTAACAAGGAACCTATCCAATGACACTTGCTTTTTCTTCCTTTTGAGGATTTCGCAGAAATGTGACATTGCATTGTTGTTAAACAGATTCATTGCTAACACTGCTACAGCCTTATTTAGGTGGTGATTTCCTACAAGATTTTGCACTGTTTCCCATATTTTACACATCTCTCTAATCTCATTTGAGGTGAGGGCTACTCCTCTGACTTTTTCTCCTCCTCTGTAGCAGGAGAGAGAGAGAACCATTGGTTCAGTTGTGATCATGTGACATTTGGCATCTTGTACTATTTATATTGCAAGACATCACTCATTTATCAAGTTAAAATTTATTAGAAATGCTTGCTCATCTTGCAGAACACTCGCAGATCAAGTTACTCTCAATCCAGTGTTTTAGTGTGTGTGTGTCTATAATGGAATTACTATTCAGCCATTAGAAAGAATGAAATTTTTCCATTTGCAGCAACATGGACCTTGAAGGGTATTATGCTAAGTGAAATAAATCAGACAAAGAAAGACAAATACCATATGATTTCACTTATATATAGTAAACACAAGACAAACTGACAAACAAAGCAAAACTAATAGATACAGACAATAGATTGGTAGATACCAGCTGGGAGGAGTTTGCGGGGTGGTTTAAATGAGTGAAGAGGGTCAAGAGGCACAAACTTCCAGTTATAAAATAAATAGGTCATCGGGTCATAATATACAGCATGGTAACTACAGTCAGTGATACTGTACTGCATATTTGACAGCTGCTAGGAGAATAAGTCTTAAAAAGTTCTCCTCACAAGAAAGAATATAAGATTTTATAACTTTGGTGACAAATGGTAACTAGGTTTTCTCTGATGATCATTTGGCAATGTGTATAAATAACAAATCATTTTGCTGTATACTCAAAACGAATATAATATGTCAATTATACCTTAGTTAAAATTATTTTTAAGTCACAGTTTTACATTTCTTCTAGTTTTGATCTCCACCCATCATTTTTACAATAAAAGAGATGTTTCTGATAATAGTTTATTCTGTGAAATGACCTTGTCTTGTGGTCATAGCAGTACATTCAGGGTTATATTTGGACTTATTTACCTAAATTTTACACATCAGTAAGACTGGTTTTCAAACACAAGAATGTGAATTGTTTAAGAAATTGGTTTTGATTACAGAAAGGACAAAAGGAATAATGAGAAACACATTCTGCAAATAGGTGGCCTTGGACAGCTATTTCAGCTTTTAAGAGTAACAACATACTTGGCCCAGAGGAACTAGGGAGATCCAAAAGTCTTTGTCCTTTCAGTTTCATTAAAATATGAAAGAACTCTATTAATAATAAACCCATGTAGCTTCTGCAGCCTTAAGTTACTGCTGTCTTCACCATGTGAATCAGCATATTGTGGGCATCTCCTTTTTAACCTTACTGACTTGAGCTTTCGCAAACTCTTGCCTCTTTTTCTATTATGCTCTTACCTCTACTTGCCCATTCCTTTTTGTTTAAATGTTTGCGTCCCATCCTAAGTGAATTTAAAAATTAATGTTACTGTAATTTTTCTGTAGTTGTTGATTCTAGGACTTTTTAATGTTAATGGAAAGAGGAAAATGTGGAAGCAAAAAATAAAGACAGAATGTAAGACAGAAAGTGGGAATGATGAGGAGAAGCAGGCCAATAATTTTTTAAAAATGTATCAAAGAAGCTGAAAAGACCTCAAAATGATAATTCCCATAGAAGCTTAGGGGAAGAGGAAATGTATAGATACATCTTTCCTATAAAGATTTTGAATAGCTGTCTGCTTTTCATTTGGGGTGTATAGGTTCATTTTTCAGATTATGGTAAAATATTCCAATTAAATGCCAACTTGTCTAATAGCTCTCTTCAATATTTGTTATTTTCTTTTTTAGGAACGGGACATGAGCTCAGTAGTAATTTTCAGTCTTAGTTGGTGATAGCTGGAATGGGACACCTTACTCTCTTAGTTCTTAACATAAGGCTTTTCTGAACTTGAATAATAAATTTGGTTATGTCATATTTAAAAAGATTTTTAGCCTGATACGTAATATTGTCTTCACTTTTGGGTTTTAACATCTGTCTTTCACAACAGATAAGTGGCAGAAACCATCATAATTCAGGAATTTTGATTCTGAAGGGCATAATACATGACACACCTTATTGGAGCAAGCCAGAATTCATCCAGCCTAGTATCTGGTCTTAGCATTTTTTCAGGCATTCATGATTACTGTCCAAAGGTAGCAACTCGGGGACTTAGGTATATACTACAAGCAATCTTCCTTCATTAGGCTCTGATAATTTTTCTTTTTCTCAAGCTTCCATACTTTCAACTTCTGCTATGGTCAGAGACTGAAGTCCCTTTTAGTTCCATAAGTATCTCTATTACTTTGAAATAGTTCTATTCATAATTTAGAAGAAAGGAAGTCAAAAGATCTGGATTTTAAAGAACTTTAAATTAATTAATATATTATCCATAATTAATTATATTACTTTTGTTAAAGAGTTTCACTTTTCTCTAACTCATTCTCATTTATATAATAAATAGTAAATAACTCTGTAGTATTTTCTTATTCTAAATAAATGTAATAGAATTCATGATCATATTCTTGTTTGTTGTTGTTAACCAATTTCTAGATGACTTTATACATCTGGCCATATGTTTTCTAATTTCTGTCTTAGTAAAATAACTAACTGCCCCATTCTTCCTGCCTCCAATTTAAAAAAAAATTCTGAGTTTCTTTGGTCATGAAAATTACATCTCTTTCGTTGTTCTCAGCTGATGCCTTTCTTAGGATAAAGCTGATGTGAACAGTACCAAGCACTGAAGGTGGGAGCAGATGTGCCATGATATTACATGTATGCAAGGTCATATTTTCTGTTTTATTTCTCTTACTTTTTTTCTGCTACTTTTTTAATGCCAGTATTTCTAGGACATTTTAGCCATATCATTTCAAAATATCTTTCAGGCCAACCCTTTGCCTCTGGACTAGACTATTCCTAAGCTCTTTACTATTCAATATCTTCTGGGACAGAGATTTCACACCCTGTCTCTCACCTTCAGGAAATTCTTATGGCTAACATAAATCTTGCTTTCTGCAATTTAAATTGAATTTATTTCCTTTTTCTTTTCACTGTGGAGATGGGAACAGCCCCAAACTAAAAGCAATGCTTTCTTATGAAGGCCAGTACTGAATATAGAGGAAAGATTATTTCCAGTCTGGCAACATTTTTAGCTTTTATATATTAAAGCTTCCTGACTTTTGTTTCAATATTCATGGTCTCAGGAGATGCTATTCTTTATGGCTCAAATGAAATAATAGTTACATATCTAATATTAATGTTATTATGTCTTTTGCTAACTAGAACCAAATGAGGTACTAAAATAAAATATGAGTTCTCAAAAGTATTTGAAGGCTTTAACAGATTTGTGTTTTTTTAGTATTAACTGTGGTCATGGGACTGGGTTTTTCCTGTGGTTTGTAGATTCTATCTCATTTTATTAGTCGTACTGTATACATGTATAATTCATCCATATCTTCCTTATAAATGATGGGAATAGAAACTTGTTCTTTAACACAAGCTGTCTTGAAACAGATTTCAATGTGTGTAGTCAAAAACCTTTGGTACCTAAGCTAAGAAATATGCTAAGTATTGGAAAGAAAAAAGAAAACACATTCTCTGCCCTTGAGGGGCCTGTAGTCTAACTGGGGGAAACGATTATAAAGCTTGTAATTATAGAACACATAAAATAATATATGAGAGTGCCTATAAAATAAGATGTTTAATGTGAATTTTATTTTATATTTAAGTCTAATACAGAAAATATCTCACACTATACAGAGCTGTTCAATTAACTAAGGCACCCTAAAATGTCTAATTGTTTCATTCTGATTTCCGTTTTTTCACGTTAAAGGTTCAGCAGTTTTCTGAAAAAAACTTCCTCTTACAGCTTTGGAAAATTCATGAAAATGCCTTAGAAAGACAGTGTGGTGAAATTACAAACCAGAGGAATATGCTTCTCCAAACCTTTGTAAGCCTTCAGCTGCTTAGAAATGTCTATTTCACAAACTGTATTGAAAAGTAGTTAAATACACTTAGGTGTACTTTTAGAAAATTATCTATGCATATTGGCAGATAGTCCTGTTCAGATATGGAAAGTATTAAGTGCTATTTAAAACCAGTTGGTAGAGTAATATAGTTTGAAAGAGTTCTATTGGCAGGGATGCAATATAGAAATTATTTGCAATTATAATAAGCATTTAAAAAAATGGTGAAACTGATTTGAATTGCTCAGGCTTGAGACCTTGGTTTTAATGCTTTTGAAAGGCAGAGAGGTTCACACTTTAGGCATATTTGTGGATCTTGGTGAAAAGATAGATTTTGTTTATCTTTTTATCTTAAGTCAGAACCAGTGATGCAGGAGCTTTAAGTAACAGGGCCAGTTTAGGAATGTGGCTTATAGTTAATTGACATTTCAAAAGGAAATATATTTAAAAATACCTAAAAATATTTGATTTCAGAATCAACAGACTTGGTGGTTAGGTATATGGGCAGTTTCTCAATGTCGTTCACAATTAGTGGACATTTTTTTGAAAATATAGAAAAATAAAGTACTATTTAGATTCTAGAATTGCCCAGAGTTTTTGGAAATTTGTATTTCTTCTTCACGTTGATGTTTCATAAAATGTAAACTATTAAGTAGAACTGAGTTGGAAATAAATACAGAATTTTACCTATATTTTAAAAGGTTTCGTTGGATTTCCTTATTTGTTTATTTGTTTTTTTCTTTAGCATTTCTTTGACTATAGATTTTTATTTTCAAGTTTGGACACTTAATTATTTTACCCAATTTCATATTGCAGTGACAAAATGGCACATATGGCTCTAAGTTTAACACACAAACACAGATATAATGATATGTAGTAGAATTTCTACATCAAAGATACTCCCAAAACATTAAGGGTAAAACTTTCAGTTGGTTGTCATTATGTAATAGCTTCAGCTTTTTTAAATTAATATTGTTGGAGGAGTAAAGCGCTTTATAATAATATCAGGAAATATAATTTTATATTTTTGTTGTTAATAATTCCAAATGATTGCACTTTATTTAAATCACTAAATATTTTATCTTTTGTTTCTGTTTTTCAGGAGGCTACAAAGAAAAAAATGACAGAGGTGGAGGAAAAATTTATTAAGGAAATTACAGACTTCAATAATGAGTATGAAGTAGCAAAGAAAAGAGAGCTTTTGATAAAAGAAAATGTCCAGATTGAAATATCTGACCTAGAAAACCAGGCAGACATTTTGAAAAGGGGTATGAGTATGAAGTATCACCTCATTTATCTGTTACTAATGAAATTAACTTATTTTGAATCAATGGATTTTCTAGAAATTTAACTTTTTCGTAAACAATTTAGGTTATGGATTTCTTTACCTTTTTCTTAATTATCCTAGTGAAAGTGTATCTTTAATTGTGAGCAGTCTCAAGTTCTTTAGAAAGGGGTGTGACATGAGCATTTAGTCATTCATTCAATAAGCAAATATCTGTATACTCTCTGTTATGTGATAGGCACTGTTGTAGGTCATCAGGATATAAAACTGAAGTGTGGAACAATCAAATATGGAAGCAGATATTTATAGTACAATGTGATAGAAGCTATAATGGGGTAGGACTGGTGCAATGATCCTCATTTTACCATCAATACCATTTAAACTAGGAAACAAGGTTACACAGTGGAGTAGGGAGAATTTCATTTCAGGAACACTATATGGTTATTACCATCTGTGATAAGATTCTGAACTAAAGTCATTGCCAAGGAGAAGAGGGAGTGAATTAAAGAGATATTTAGGAATAATGACAGGACTTTATCATGGATAAATGTGAATAGAAGTAGAGAAAGTTAGGGATGAAACATAGTTTTCAGACCTCAGAGATTGGGTATAATATGGTACCAGGAGGAAGAGCAGAGGTAGAGAAAGAAGCCTGTTTGAAGTATAGCCTTTTCTGGACAAAAAGATTGAGTTTTGTTTCAGGCATTTTTAATTGGAGATATCTATGAAATATACAGAGGGAGAGGCCCAGGTGGCAGGGGAAAATTTGGTTGTGAAACTAGTAAGAGATCAGAGCTAGAATATTATTAGGCTTGGGACTGAATCCAGAGGAATTTGTGATATCATTCAGGCAAACTATATAGAGGGGACACAAATGAGGAGTGAAGACCAAATTCAGAAACTGGGAAAGCACAACATTTAGGAAAAGAAACAAGAATAAGACAGAGTAGTCAAAAATATCTGGAGAACCAGCAGAGAGTAATATTTTGGAAACTAAAAGCAAAAAAATATTTTCCTCAAATTAGTGGAAATCAAAATAGGATGTTAATCTGGCGATCAGATGTCAAGAGCAGTATTGTAGGGTAGAGTAGTAGAGGAAGACTGGTAGTAATAGATTGGAGTCAGTGTGAATTGAGGAAGTAGAGAATGAAAATATAAGTGATATTAAATGGAAAATTAGTTTTTAATGGAAGCCTTTCTAATGTACTGTTATTTTGATGATTTTAGTAAATGGAGAATAATAAACACATTTAACTATTTTACTGACTTGAAGCTATCAGTATGAACAATTTATTGTTTTCTTTGCTTATGACAACTATTATTTTAATTAGTATTTATTGGGCTTATACTATATAACAATCATCATCATCATCCTAAAGATTATAAACACTAATGTCATGTAGATTTAATTTAAATCTTAATTTAACCATTTAATAATTGTGTGATTTGGGGCAAGATGTTTAGCTTTTCTTTGGCTCAGCTTCCCCATCTGTAAATATGGGGGTTAGTAGTAATGACCTTAGTAAAGATTGTTGTGAGAATTCAATGAGATTATACTGAAGCACATAGAATGCTGCCTGGCACATAATAAGGTCTCAGAAAATGTGGTGATTATACTTTTTAGTCTCATTTGATAGGTGAAGGAAATAAGGTTCTCAGAGATGAATTACTTTGGGTAGAGAGTGTAGGACAGGGGCACACATCTGGGAAGATTTAAAAACTTCAAAATGTTGAATCTCATCCCAGACCTATTGAATGAGAATCTCTGTAGGGGAGGAGAGAGAACATAACTTTTTTGTAAATCCCTTAGGTGATATTAATGGGTACTATTCAAGAACTACAAGTGTAGAATATAAAGTTAAATAGAGTTAAGTAGGCACATACTCTAAAACTAACTTTCTGTGAAAAGAAATGGATATCACCATTTCTATTCAACATAGTATTGGGAATTTTAGCCAAATCAACTAGGCAAGAAAAGAAAATGAAAGGCATCCAAATTGGAAAGGAAGAAGTAGAATGTTTTCTGTGCCCATATGATATGCTTGTATATATAGAACACCTAGGGACACCACAAAAAACTGCTAGAGCTCATAAATACAGCAAAGTGCAGTATGCAAAATCAACACACAGAAATAAGTTGCATTTCTATGTATGAGCCATAAGTGATCCAAAAAGGAAAATTTTTTAAAAATTCAATTTACAATAGCATCCAAAAGAATAAATATTTAAGAGGTGAAATTTAACCTAGGAGGTGAAAGACTAGTGCACTGAAAACCATATAAACCTTTGCTCAAAGAAATGAAATAAGACCTAAGTAAATTGAAAGACATCCCATATTAATGGATTAGAAAACTTAATATTGTTAAATGACATTATTACCCAAAATGATCTGTAGATTCAATGTAATCCCTATCAAAATTCCAACAGCATCTTTTTCATGAATAGAAAAACCAATCCTAAAATTTATATAGAATCCTAAAGAATCCCAAAGAGCCAAAACTATCTTGAAAAATAAAAATTAAGAATAGAGTTGAAGGACTCACACTTTCTGATTTCAAAACTTATTAAAATGCTGCAGTCATCAAAACAGGATGGTAGTAGAATAACGACAGACATATATAAAAACAGAGTGGAATAGAGAGCCCAAAAGTAAACCCTCATGTATGTGGTCAAATGATTTTTTTTTTTTTAATTTATTTCTAGGAGAGAGACAGCGTGCGCAGGGGAGGGTCAGAGAGAGAGGGAGACACAGACCGAAACAGGCTCCAGGCTCTGAGCTGGCAGTCAGCACAGAGCCCAACGCGGGGCTCAAACCCACGAACTGCGAGATCATGACCTAAGCGAAAGTCGGACGCTTAACCGACTAAGCCACCCAGGCGCCCCCAAATGATTTTTAATAAGAGTACCAAGACTATTCAATGGAAAAGGACAGTCTTTTCAAGAAATGGTACAGAAAACTAGATACCACATTCAAAAGATGAAGTTAGGTCCTTACTGTACAGAATATAGAAAACTTATCTAAAATGGACCAAAGTCTAAAGTTTATGAAGTAAAACAATAAAGCTTTTAGAAGAAATGATATAGGAAACACTGCATCATATTGGAATTGGAGGTGATTTCTGTTGTTTGTACAGACAACAAAAGAAAAAATACATAAACTATATTTCATTAAAATTAAGATCTTTTGTATATTAAAAGACACTCTCTAGAGAATAAAAACGAAACACCCAGAAATAATGGGTTCTGTTTTCTTATAGAAAAAAGTATTTGCAAACCCAATCTTTGATAAGGGATTAATATCTAGAATATTTTTAAAGTAGTCTCTGCACCCAATATGGAACTCAAACTCATGACCCCGAGATCAAGAGTCACATGCTCTATCAACTGAGACTGCCAGGTTCCCCTAGTGTCCAGAATATATGAAGGACTACAACTCAACACTAGGAAAACAACCTAATTAAAAATGGGCAAAGGGCTTGAATAAACATTTCTCCAAAAATATGGCCAATAAGCACAGGAAAAGATGCTCAGCATTGCTAGTCATTAGAGAAATGGAAATCAAAACCACTTCACTCTTTTAGGATGGCTATTATCAAAACAAATCAAAAGTCTCCACACATGATATTCTTAGTGTTAAGGATGCAATCCAAAATCACTCGACTTCTGAAGAATTAGTGAAAAGTGATCTAGTATCATAAGAAAACCATGAGATGCCAAACTCACAGTGATCTAGATATTGGAATTATCAAATATTTTATAACAGCTATTATTGAGCTATGCTCAATGAGTGAGGAAAATGCACTTGCAATAGATGAAAAGACTGGTAATATCAGTGGAGAAATAGAAAGTATAAAAAAATGATGAACATTTTTAATGGCAAAATACGTTATTTGAAATAAAAATGTTAATATGTGAGGAGTTAAGATGGCAGAGAAGTAGGGGGACCCTGGACTTTCCTAGTCCTTCAAATTCAGCTGTATTGAGGTCAGATCACTTAGAACACCCAGGAAGTTGATCTGCAGACTGTCTCCAAGGTTGGAGGGAGACAGTGTGATAGTTGTGAGGTGCATGGAAATGAATTGGGGGGAGAGAAAAACCACAGTCCTGAACCCTTTTCACGGAGAGATAAAAGGGAAAGCAAGAGGGGTTAAGAGAATGCGGCATTGGTTTGTACAAGAGGAAAACCTCTCTGGACCACAGACTGGAGAGTGAGAAGTACTGGGTGTTGCAGGGCTTTTTTGTGTTTTTTGTTTTTGTCTGTTTGTTTTTTGCAAACAGTGTTTGGAGCTCAAACTCTGAGGTTTTCAAAGTGCTTGACTTTCTCCATAGTAGAGCTGTGGCATTAGCTCCTGGGGAGGAGAGAGCTGGCTGCAGACTGCATAGCATGGTGCAGAGATCTCCGGGGTGCATTAAGAGAGAAATTTCCCTTCCCAGAGTACTTTTGGAAGAGGACATACTGCCTCCCCCAGGACAAAAGATCCTGTAGGTCCGAGAAAAAGGCCTTCAACATCAGGGGACAGAGGTGCACCCAGAGGGAATATAACCTTTGCTGCAAGACACATGCAGATTGAAAGTGAAGGGATGGAGAAACATCTATCAGACAACTATATATTAAAATAAAGACTGTAACGAGAGAAGAAAAAGGGCATTATGTCATAATTAAGGCATCTATCTATCAAGATCTCACAATTTTAAATATTAATACCCCCAACTTAAACTCCCAAATACATAAATCAGTTAATAGCAAACATAAACTCCTTGATAATAATACCATAATCATAGACTTTAGTGCCCCACTTTCAGCAATGGACAGATCACCGAAGCAAAACAATGACTTTGAATGACACACTGGACCAGATGGACTTAACAGATATATTCAGAATATTTCATCCTAAAGCAACAGAATACACATTCTTGAGTGCACATGGAACATTTTCCAGAATAGATTACATACTGGGTCACAAATCAGCCTTCAGCAGGTAC